CTATAATGATGAGAAAACCGTGGATAGAGAAGGTTAAAAATGAGGAGGAATTAGCTAGAATAAGAGAACAGAGGTGACTGTGGAAGTCAGTAAGACATAGGTGAGATAGGCTGGTAAGACACCTTCTCAGGCGTGAAGGGTTAGTTAAAGACATATTAGAAACAGAAACAGGAGTTAAGAGGAGTAGAGGTACACCTAGATTAGATTATTGATGTTCTGGTTTTAGGGAAATACGAAGATTAGCTCAAGATAAGAAAAAGTGGAGGTGCGTGTCCAAACAGTCTTATAGGTTAATATGAGATTTAACTGTATCAAATACATTCTTTTTTATTATTTAATTTGTAAATGATTAGGTACGATATGTAAAACCTTCTACTAGAAGTAAGACTTTGTATAAAACTTTCAGTCACTTCGTTACCTCAAATTGCATTAGGTGATTCACGGTTAATATACTTTAACAGGGTTTCATAACAAATGGAGGATTCCCGACACCTCTTATAATGTGCTCCAGTTATTTCGATCAGAATCTAGTTAATGGATATTTTAATAAATACATTTAAAATAATTAACTATTTTAACTATTGTTTAGTTAAAACGAAAGAGCGTGCCAGATTAGTCTAAAGCCAATATAATTGAGACCTCTCAGGGGAAGAAAAGAACATTCTGGAATATACTTCTAAAATAATTCTCTTTATATATTCGATAACATTTAATACCTGATTACAAAGAGTTTTTGTTGTTTAAGTGCCTCAAGATGAAGAACTTTTAAAGTTATTAAGAAAGAGATGGATAGGAAGGTACAGTCCCTTATTACACATCAATTGTCTTCTGTTAAGGTTATTATTACATGTTACACTTATTTAACCTATAATAATCAAAAATATTTTGATTTTAATCTACTGTTCGGCTTTTATTTCTTTCGGCTCTCACTTTTTTGCAAAATTCGGTCTAAGACTACCCCCATATTACATATAGCATTTCCAAATTATTACCGCTTACCCTTCTTACGGCTAATACATGTAATGTTATCTATTACATGCGTATTTTTACCATTTTTGGCAATACAAAAAAGTTTTTCTGAATAAAGCTTCTTCAAATGGTACACATAGTACGCTATATAGTAATAGTCTATTTCTTCCAACCCAAAATGGGTTGTTCGTCCTTATACTTGACTTGAATGATCCTATATTTTTCGAAAGCGTGTTAAAATTATTGTTACCCTTATTGCAAATTACCATTAAACACAATTAGCGCGTTTGTACCAGATTTAAGTTTAAAAGCAGTAATGTTGAGACCTCTAGTGGAAAGATATGAACATTTTACAGTAATTGTAAAGGAAATCTGCTTTGTATTAGATTACATTAAATTAATTAACATCCATTGTAGTTACTCATTCGGAGATGACGCTGTATTGTATTTTCCTAAGACAAATTTAAATTTGCTTAAAATTTCTAATACTAAATCTAAATTTACAAATTGACACTATTTGGATTAACAATCACAAATCGAATTTTTTTTATAACTAAAATTTTCATGCCCTAATCTAATTTGACTTTTCGTGAAGATTTGCGAATAAAATAGTTTTTTTTTTTGTAAATTAAAAACTATACACTCACACAGCATAGTATTAAGGGCAAAAAATAGAAGAATCTTTATTGTAAATATAACACACTATGATGAAAATGTAATATGTATAGAAGTTTAGATAAGTACATATCTGAGCAACAAGTGATTTATTGATTAGGTAATTAATTTAGTTCACAAATATCTGTTTTGAAAAATCCCGGGAAATCCCTAAATATCCGAAATATTCACTAAAATCAGTTATCTTCTTTATCAAGAGATAATAGTAATAAAATTTCAAATAAACAACAAACTCAGCACCAATGTAAGCTCAAAATAAAGTTTGGCAAAATTGAATGGACAATAAGTCACACAAATTAAAAATACTTATTCATTTGTGTGGAACATTTTATATCTTTTTATTATTATTTCAATTTTGTTTCTGATTGGCATAATATNTATGTTTGCAATGACGTCTTTATTAAACCACGTCATTTGAATGTCCATCATGATACGGGTTATTATTGATTAAGACAACTTTAAATTTTTGACTACTACCAGAACAAATATGTGCGAATAAATTCAATAACATATCATAATAACATTTACCAGAAGATATAAAAAACGAAAACAACACAGCGTACATGAGTGTACTAGTAACCTTGTGTTTTTTATGCCTTGCGATATCATAGAGCGTTCATATAATACACAAAAGTATGTCTAGCCACTTCAATCAGAAATATTTTTAAAATTATCGGACTACCGCATTAAGTCGACTTTTAGTTTTTTATATCAAAAAAGATGCTTAACCTTGAAACATTACGCTTGATTTGTGTATATTTTAGCATATATCTAGTCGTAATATTCAATTCAGTGGATAGAAACATTTAGTTTATTTTATTTAGTAGAAATTAGTTCATAAGATGGAACACTAAAAATACGAATTCTAGGTTTTTGAAGCTTTACATAAACCCCTCGTCTCTTTAAACAAATTTTCATTGTAATGTCAACCAAACATACAACAGTAATTTTCTTAAAGAGTAAAAGACACTTTGGTATTTTTTTCTAATTTTTATGTCTGTTACTGGCAATTTTAACTAATCCTAAAAAGGATTCATAGGATAATACATACTTATAGTGGTTTTTCATCTAATAACAGAGGAATTTTCTCTCAATTAGCTTCTAGTAGTTGCTTTTCCCTGTATTTTGTTGTAGTGGTGAATAAAAGATAGAAAATGAAACAAAAATGAAATTAAGAGATTCAAAAGCAGTAAATAGGAAGTTCATATTTATGAATTTCAAATTTTAAAGTAAATTATTATTAGTATTAAGCATTAAAATTAACAGTGCTGGTCTTTTATACTATGTTAAAATTCTGACATCATATAAAAATTTGATAATGAATAAAGGCTTGTAAAAATTTTATTACTGAAGTTTAAAACAATTCGTGAATTGATAGCTACTGCGGCGCCTTAAGATCTAACAATAAGTATGTATGTAGGTCATATTCTAACCTCTTTTTAATGAAAGTCAATTAGGAGTCGGAGCACATTGACTCCTAGCATGCCTCTTTGACGATAGAAATTCGAAAATTTAAAACAAAAAGATAAATATGCGTTAGTACGAGCATCACTTCTAATATCATATCATAACAAATAAAAAAAGAATAAGAATTAAATATCCAATATTTGAAAAGATTTATAAATACAAATATAAAATATAAGTCTGCATTATTAACAAGAAGGAGTATAAATTTAAATACCCATAAAGCATATATTCAAAATAAAATAAAAGAGTAGCTACTAAAAAAATATAAGATGGTAAAAAGTGTATCTATATCATCAACCTCACCGGCTCTTACCTTCACTCTTAAAGTGAAAGGCAGACGCGAACGCGAATGAGAAAAACCCTAATGTTAATTATTTCCAAAAGTCGAATTATTAAAATTAGTAAATCACATGATTAATTATCGATTATTTACCTTCAAAAACCATCTATTGTTATTAATTCGCAGTTTCTTACGAGCGACGTAGCTTATTGTATTATTCATTGCGTGTAAATACTATAAATCCAAATTAATTTTCCGATTTACTTATACATCTGTACTTAATTACCTACCAAGAATTCCTCAAGTTCAAGGTAAATTTTTAATTGCTACAAACACCAACTAATTGTAAATTAAAGAAGTGTCATCTTAAAAAAACGAAAATTACAAAAAAGCTTCGAATACAATCTTCGAGCAATGACCCCCGCAAACTTTAAACAGAATGGTCACTACACCCTAGGCTACATTAAAAACACAAGTTTTGGATTTAAAAAATACCTAAACCATTGAATATAGTAACAGAAATTTAAACAGTTCAATAGTCAATTATAAAACATATATAGGACAAACTGGTCGAGTATTGCAAACCGGAATTAATAAACATATAAAATCTATTCTAGAAAGAGAGATTAAGTCGGAATTTAGCGACTAATATACCTACCCAAAAGCTGAAAATATCCTAAAATAAATAGCGCCATATAACTCGGAAAATGTTGTTAATAACCAAGCAGAATTAGGTAATTTTTCATATTCTCTTGTCTTTCGTTATCTATACATTAACATTAAGTTGTTATCAATATACTGCAGTTAAATACCTACCCCTCACAACAATCACGCCGATCGAAACAATATTGTCGAGAACAATAAAAATTGTTATTCATAAAAGCTCAGTCTTGCATCTCAAATCTTATGAACGATTCATGAATTTTATCTTTTCTCTTTCCCAACAAATTTTTGCGTATTTTTACCCATTAATTCGATACTGAATTACTTGACATAGACACGGTTCAGTAACAATGAACAGCTGGTATTGAAGAAAATTTACGGTAATGATTCAAACTGTCCTATAAGTAGAATAAGATTTAGTGTGTTCGTACTAGTTTTACGCAAGGCATTTTTTTCTCGAATAGCCTTGTCTAATTTGCACAATACTCCTATTTGAACCACTACGTACAATGTTCATGTAGATTGTCTCTCATTAAATACGCCTGGTACCATCGTAAATTTAGACTTTAATCAGGCATATTGTGGACACATGTGTACACTTTTCAATTAAATACCGTCCTTTGTCCTATTTTAAAAGCCATGAGAGAATAATGCTTTCAGAATTCTAATTCTCTTCGTATTAATGATAACCATCTACTTATTATTTTTTTTTTCTTCTAGGAATAGGTACATTGTATGTATTCTGTATATCTAGATAGGGGTTTCAATAATTAAAATTCATTAAAGATTAAAATTGAATTATATCGAAATATTTACGTAGTAATAATAATAACTCTTACTTGAAAATTGTAGTCATTTTTTCTAATGCAGGGGAGAAGTCCTTAATAAACCAATCTAACCAAATTTAATGATGGAAAGAATGTGTAAATATTAATTCTGCGTTAATTCTATCATTTATAATAAAAAGTTTAACTCAAGAACGAACAGAACACTTTTAGAAATAGATACGTATATTATTCATACATTTTGCTCCACAGGTTATACCTACCTACCGTAACTATTTCTCAGCAAATTAAAAACAATATCACATTCTTATTTATTACAAAAAAGGAGCATTATCTAGTCGAATCATTTAGTCGAATCATTTAAACATTCATAATGAATGTTACACATTGATCTATGTACACGAGTCAAGAACCAACATGATTAAAAAACAATTATCCTGTAGACATGCAGGATATTTTACAGTTTCCTTGCTTCATATCTCATAAATAATATACTGAAATTAAGACTCCTAATGATAATAAACTTCTTGCAAGATGAAACTTCATACACCACTTAAGATAAGAGAGATCCATTTTTTTTTTTAATAATATTCGTTAATCATGTTTTAAGATGCTGAGAAACATTAATAAATACTGTTAAGAAGGATGTCCTTATACTTCAATACAATTGTGAATGAAAGCAGTTACATCAACACTTTCTCATGTTCCACGTAATTTCTTCTCTTAAACTCGGGATTCCGTGAATTTGATCCCTAATTATTTGTGCTCCAAGTTTTGATATACCATCCTGGTATTCGCTAAAGCCTGGAGTTAGAGGTACGCTCTTTTTGGACTTTTGATCTCCTAGACCAGCATCATTAGGCGATGGTCTGATAATTCTTTGCTTTTGATTCGGTCTCTTAGCATCTCCGGGCAAAAGAATAGGTGGTGAACATGGTCCCTCGCCTTTGTACTTTTCAGCCCTCAACAAGTCAGCATAAGGAGCGTTCGCATAGTCACTTAAATGACAAATGTCAACTTGATACGTTGTTCTCATTATTTCTCGTTTAACCCTTGAAGCTAAGTCGTTCATGGGGGCGTCTTTCAAAGTTTCGTAAATGTAGGGATACTTTTCCTTCAATTTTTTCAAAAACATGTTGGGTTCTATGTTGCACAAATTAATGGGTTCTGCTACGACAGTAAATTTCGCTGCATCCCATGGATCGCCAGCGGTACATAGCGAAGGGCCGCAAGGTGCTCTTGGTTCAGGTTTTGTCAAACCGAATCTTTCGCTTAATGATAATGGCTTGGGTTCACAAGCTGGTAGCCTATTAGGCCATAAATAATCTCGCATGTACACGCTTGTATAGTGATTCATTGTAAGAGATGCTTAAAATAATTTAGTAAAATTTAAATAATTTTGAATTTTCTTAAGTACAAACACTAAAATGGTACAAAAAAAACTAAAAAACTCGCAATCGAAATTACATGACAGATACCAAAATGATAAAGGTTATATTATCATATTTATGTCACTCAAAAGACAGTAAACGAAAGATTTTGCTTAATATGTACTGTTTCAGTATTAGCCCATAACTTTAGGATTAACGAAGGCTTCTTGGGCAGTCAACAAATTTACATTTCCAACCCTTTTCCCAACTCAATCCTCTTCCCAATCCCAACCTATCCATTTCTTTCCCGAGGATGAGTAATCTTTGGGTTTATTTCCCCACTCGAGGAACGGTTTTAGTCGGTAAAAATCCGACACTATCTCCCTCAGGAGGTGTCTTTTGAAGATTTCCCCTCTTCGAGAATAATATAAATAAGAAGAAGGGGTAAAAATACAGATATACGCATTGTTTTAAAGGCAAATTGATTTGTCTTCACCGCTAACATTTATTGTGAAAGATCCTTCAAGGGTAACGCCTAGAAGGGCAGACAGTCACACTCTGGAAATGTCATTTTTTCCCATTTATACATTTCTCCTAATTCTATGTTCGGTTGCCAATATTTTGCGGGGTAGTTCAAAGCCAACCCTCCGGGTTAACTTAAAAGAAAACTGTATATCGGAAAGATTAAAGGCATTAATTAAATTATTTCATTGTTCAATTTTTTTAGTAAGTACAAATTTAATATTCTATGTGTCTGTTACACACTTCAAAAATACCATCGTCAATCACGTCTTCTGAAGGTATGACTAATATTCGTGTTTTCCCTTCACCGTCCTTGCATGTACACATCAAAAAAGGGAGCTAAAGACACTGATAAATCTTAAACTTTTATGAAAGATAACAAGCAGTACAGACATACCTTTAATTTTTTCAAATTGAAAACGATACTACCATACAAAGAAAGGCCAAAACGCCTTATAAATTGACACACCTCTTTACACATAAAAGAACATATGGTTCAATATCAGAAATAAAAATATTATCGGTCTCAATATTAGTAATAAAGAACTACTTTAAGGTTGAAAAAGACATGAATCAATAAAGTGTCTAATGACAGTTTCATTCAGAAATAAGAAAACTGTATTAGTTCTCATGTAGATAAAAGTAAATTCATTTGCTTATGTTGTATGCGTTGTATGAAGTACAAAATAATATTTTTCAAATTTATTTGACAACGTTTGTTGTTATTATCAATTTGGTTAAATAATGTATTACATTAGTTACTTTGTACTATAATTCTTGTATACAAGATTAAGTAATTATAGACAGAAGCAAAGTTTTCGATACCAATAAATNTGGAAATCTTAGTAATTTATTAATTCCTTTTTAAGTATAAGTAGAACATAAATTTTTTTTTAACAAAAATCTCTTAAACCACATACGAAACATGCTATAAAGTATTCATCAATTATTTATTAAAACTAATTCAGTTTTTCAACAATATATAACAAAATAATTTTATTACGATGATGTATTTAAAAAAACATTAGGGCACATTCATCCCCTGTATCTATCCCGTGTTCTAGTCAGATTCCACCAGTTTAGAAACGTAACCCTCCTTATTATCGTACGTACTCGTTCTACGTGACCCATTTTTTACATCCCCCCTCGGTGACCACTCGTAGTATATGTCAAGACTCTCTCCCCTTCTAGTTTTCACGTAGTAACTCATAAATATGGATTTAAATCATCTTTTGCAAACGGAAGTTATTGACTTCGTGACGAAAACCTAAGCCCCCCCCGGCCTTGTGACCCAGCATGGTATTTTTGAAGGCCCCCCCTCCCCCTCCTCACGAATCACATTGTATGGGTACCGTGATATAAAATTCGTCCATAATCTTGTGCAGACAGTTCTCGGACTATTCTTATGAAATTGCTGGGAAATAGTATTGTTATTTAATTTGTAGTAGTTTTAGATGTTCGAATTCGAATATCACATGTTGGTACATAAAAGAAGAATTTCATTACCCATAAATTACATGGTTAATATGTCGTTTCAATTTAATGTGAATACTGTGAATGATATGAAATACAAAGTTCCCTAGCCTTACATTGTAATAATAAAGCGTTATATTCAAGTGAATTCACACCTATTGTTGTTGACCTTGTTTGCTTAGTTAAGGTTTTTGTTTTAAGAAAAAATTTGTTAAAATAAATAATATATTATAAGAGATGGTTTGAAGTTTTAATCAAGGAATCGAGTATCTCTAGCGTTTAATTTGTAAACATCGTAAATTTAAAAGTAAACACTTCCTACTTTGAAAACGTAAAAAAAAACTGAANAGAAATTCGCGAATCCTAATTGAATTTTCATTTTAAAATTAAACCATGAACTCAGCAATATATGAGCAAACAATGTACATGTTAGAATCATTAAAAGCTGATACAAAAATTAAGAGATTAATACATTTCTACATTTAAGATTAGAAATCCAAGGGGGTAGCTGCCCCTTTCTTGCCCCCTTGGTATGCCCATGAGTTTTATGTAAAACTACAGTATTGTTTCGAAATATTCAGTCTTTGTTGAGCAGTTTTCCTTTATTTACAAACTTCAATTTTGTTTAGGAATTGCATGAAAAGAAACGAAAAGGCTGAGCTTTGAATTGAGCTTATTCTATGATTTATTTGGACTATGATGATAAACGATTGCATTTTTGTCACAATGTGTCCTCCCTTATCACAAAAAAGTCGGAACATTTTCATTTCCGTTCCATCTCCGACAACCGATTTAGCTGGGGATATGGAATCGCCTGACGACCTCCTCCGTAGATTCCGTGTGACTCCGTGTGATTCGCTGCAGTATGGTGCGGTCGGTTGTGTTGTGAGGAGCCCGTCATGCGGGATAGTAAGATGGCAGAATTAAAATTCGAAGCACCCCTCGCACAATTCGAGGAGACCGATGAATGGGGAACAAACGAGTTTCAAACAGCAACAACCGGTGTTACACTCAAATCCGAATCGGAATTGAACAACATCAACTTGAAGAAAAATAAAAAGGATAAGGATTTAAATGACGTCCTGAACGATTTTAATGAGGATATTTTGTTGAACGATAACTTGAATTCCGCAATAGTTAATCAAAAAACCTTGATCAAGAATGGAGACACGGCTTCAGTTGCAGATAATTTTACCGAAACATTTTCCGGATCGTTAGAGGATTTGGTTAATACTTTTGACGAGAAAATTACCAAGTGTTTTGGAAATTATGAGGAATCTGTGGAAAAGTTAGCCCCTGTTCAAGTCAGATCTCAGGAAGAAATAATGAACGAATGCCAGTAAGTTTACCTATTGCAATTATTTTACTATAATATTTCCCTGAAAACACGTAATGTAAGGATTATTTGTGCCCTTATCTCATTTACCGATAATGAAAACAGAATGTACTGGTTTGTTGGTAGTTGGTGATAAGACTAAGGAGTTTATTTATTATTGTATGCAAACAGTAGATAAGAATTTTATATTTTAGATAAAATTAACTTTGAAAAAATTGATTGTTACATCAATGACACATAATAAGAACACCTAGTTTCCATGATGAAAAGACGACAAAGCTTTTGCGCACTAGAGGGTAATTGGATAAAATCAATACTTTTGGCGTCTTGTTGGGGGAGTCTGTTACCCTTGCATTTAACTTCACATGAAACTTTCATAATGAAACAGGTAGTTATTTAGAAAACAAAGTCGACCTTTTGTACATGTACCCGCCACCATTTATGTATATTTCCTTGCAATTATTGATTATTACATTACATACATATATGATTATATAACAACAATAAAAGTACCTACACTTGTCTCCCTTATTAGCATACTCAATAGTTTGTTTCCGTCCTAAAAATATCCAGCTCACAAATACACTTTTAGCTAAATATAATTTAAATTAAACCATTTAATAAACTATTTCGGCGAAAGATTTACAAATAGTTACATGTTCTGATACATAAGAACAAAACCGAATGTTCGTTTTATTATGGCAACAATAATGTTGTTATTAAGCAGAAGAACATGGTTGTAAACAGTTAAGATCATAACAAAATCTATTTATGAGCGTTACATGTACCTACTCATAATGGGATCTAATAATTGGTTTTTTGAACTTGTTAAAATAAAACGTTTTAGCATCTTTCCAAAAATATGTTCTTTGTAATACGTATTATTTTTTATAAATGAGCTGAAAATGAAGGACATCCATCAAAAGCAATCAATATTGGTTTGTATTGTAAATAGTCATAGAGTAACATGGAAATTATCAAACAAATGTTTAATTGTAGCAACATTCTATCAACAAATTCTCCCTAATCCATACATATTTGTAAGGAAAGTACTATTGTTTTGCTAGTGGTATTAATGTAGTCTTTAAAGTCGACTGTTAGAAAATCAATCTTCATTTCTGTACAACAACTACCTTTAGTACTAGTAGCAAAATTATATCACTTCGTATATCTACTTACCACAGCTGTTAAAAATATCTACGAAAACTAATAATAAAATCCGCATACTATATTATTCATCAGTTCAAATTTTGTTAATAATAAACGATGTTATCACGTACCAGGGTGACCTTTCAAAATAAGTGATAAATATAATTTTACACTGCATTCTCTAAAAATTAATTTTTAAGTCGAAAATACTGCTATCGTTTCTATAGTTTGTTTTGTTTTGAAAAACTTTTAACTACATTTTATTTAGAGCCCAATTACTTTCAAGGGTGGTGTTTTACAAGAAATTGAATAATTAAAGCAGTTGGAAGCTCGAAAAGCTCTTAGGTTCTTTTGAAAAAAGAAATAATTTAACTNAACCCTCCGGGTTAACTTAAAAGAAAACTGTATATCGGAAAGATTAAAGGCATTAATTAAATTATTTCATTGTTCAATTTTTTTAGTAAGTACAAATTTAATATTCTATGTGTCTGTTACACACTTCAAAAATACCATCGTCAATCACGTCTTCTGAAGGTATGACTAATATTCGTGTTTTCCCTTCACCGTCCTTGCATGTACACATCAAAAAAGGGAGCTAAAGACACTGATAAATCTTAAACTTTTATGAAAGATAACAAGCAGTACAGACATACCTTTAATTTTTTCAAATTGAAAACGATACTACCATACAAAGAAAGGCCAAAACGCCTTATAAATTGACACACCTCTTTACACATAAAAGAACATATGGTTCAATATCAGAAATAAAAATATTATCGGTCTCAATATTAGTAATAAAGAACTACTTTAAGGTTGAAAAAGACATGAATCAATAAAGTGTCTAATGACAGTTTCATTCAGAAATAAGAAAACTGTATTAGTTCTCATGTAGATAAAAGTAAATTCATTTGCTTATGTTGTATGCGTTGTATGAAGTACAAAATAATATTTTTCAAATTTATTTGACAACGTTTGTTGTTATTATCAATTTGGTTAAATAATGTATTACATTAGTTACTTTGTACTATAATTCTTGTATACAAGATTAAGTAATTATAGACAGAAGCAAAGTTTTCGATACCAATAAATAATACCAACGAAAGGTCGTTGTGTTTAGTTAATACACAAACAAAAAATCAGCGCTGATCCCTTTGACTCCTACAATTCCCGGGCCCTTCCATAGTCCCAGTCCGCCCTTGTATGCCTCTAACTAGGCCTAATTACAATATATTTGATGCTAGAATTTAAGTTCAATGAAGTTCTTCCGTTGTTTCTATATAAGAGTACTTAACTGAGCTTAAAAGCTTTCACGATTAGTTTCAAATTTCTATTCCAGGCTTTGTAAGTTTCGCCATGATCTTCTGTTTTTCACGCTTGTCTCCGAATTGTCCGAAAATATCATTAAATTAATCCAATAACTATGAAACCCTGACGGTTTTTACATTTCATATTCGTATACCACGTTGCAAAGTAGTAAGTATGTCGTAAACTTCACTTGTGCCTTTACACTCGATTGAGTTTTATGTATTTGCAAGGAAATTTATTACCTGCCTATAGAACAAGTACCAATCATTTTTTTTTACCTTTTTTTTTCAGTACATATCCGTTTACGTTATAAACATTATTGTTTACAGTCCATTGTTTAGGTATAGAAAAACAGTCGCTATCCTCACGATAATGGTATTTAAATGTGATTTGCATACTTGAAGCAATGCCTTCTAATAAATCCTAGCTATTTATCAGCCAGCTGCACGCACAACAATTTATTCATAAAAAGGAAGGGTGCCTTTTAAAAAAAAAAAAACTGTTTCATTTTGCAGTCGGTTTTGATATAAGATTAGTTTAACAAATAGCAACACAAAGTCATGCAACCGCAAAATCGATATTTTTGCAGTTTGATACAAGGATTTAATTAAAGATTAAATCGAGTTTTTCAATCAACAGGAAAAGAGTTTTCAAAATTATCGTAGTAGGAAGTCACTATTAATTACTTACTTCAACCTAAAGACCTTTCCTACGATATGATAATTGTTTTTCGATTAGATAATTATGTACTATCTACTTTTTTAATTAAATTTTTAATTCGTACTGTTTGCGGAATCACGTAGGCATTTTTTTGCTACAAATTCAAATTAAATTGAATTTAAAAAAATATCTGTAACTGAGCAAATGTTTTGTTTATGTGCGAAACATGGACAGTGGGCGCAGCGCAAAAGAAAAAGTTAGAAACGTTCGAAATGTGGTGTTATAGGCGGATGATGAGGATAACGTGGGTAGAAGAGGTTAGAAATGAAGAGGTATTAGAAAGAATAGGAAAACAGAGGACTCTAGGAAATAGGCGAGATAGGTTGGTACGACACCTTCTCAGGCATGAAGGTTTAGTCAGAGACATATTAGAGGCAGAAACAGGAGTTAGGAGGGGTAGAGGTAGACCTAGTTTTAGGGAAATGCGAAGTTTAGAGGAAAGAGTGGAGGTACGTGTCCAACCAGTCTTAGGACTGTCGACCTTATGATAATGATGATGATGATATCAGTTATGTTTAGAAAATAAGCAACTATACCTACTAATTTTGAAATTATACACGAGTTAGGAAACTATAAGGCGTGCCTTTTGAAAACCTTTTCTAATTTACTGGAAAATTGGTACAATTAATAGCAAGTTTTGGCAATAATTAGTTAAAGTTTATTCATGTTTAATTTGCACTGCACTCACATAAATTGTAAAAATACAAATGTGAACATAATAAACGTTTAAAGGAGAGAAATACTTTTATTTTCAACTATGAATGTAATAATTACCAAAAGTTTAACTTTAAAGGCAGTTTTCGAAGCAGATACGTAAAGGCCGCCATGAGCGAAGTAAAAAGTCCAAAAGAGTAATAAAAGGACTACTTCGACCCTCTACAAATATCTCACCCTTCAGTCGTTAATAGTTTCAATGGAAAATGTTTACCTTTTATAAACAAAAAGTTTATATAGCATTTACCTTTGAGTCATAAAAAAGATATTTCAATATACGCCTATAAAATGCGCTATAAACGTATTATTGTTATAAAACCAAAATAAAAGCTGATGACCCTATTATTCAAGAGACGTAAAATTAAGATTATAAAACATACTGTTGATAGGTAGCTACATAAAAAACAATTCAATTTATAATTTTATAAAAAGGAAAAGAGATATTTTCATTCACCCACCTTTACACTTTCATTAGACATTTTTTACACAAATTGCTACGCACATTGACACAAACGAACTGTTTGATAAGAGCATAGCAGTTGCCTTTAAAAAATACAATACCGTACTGATAACGATAAGATTGGTTTATGCTTATGGGTCACCGTTGTTATTACAAACGTAACGATCTGAATGGCTTATTTAGACAGTGTTTGTTTTACATACATTATACCTACTTCATATTAATAGGACCATCAATTCTCTAAAGAGGAAATATAAATGTGTGACAATTTCTACGCATCAATATTATGCAACTGCTTACATCCTGATTATTCTATAACTTTTTTATTGCAAGGGTTTAGGGTTATCAACTGTCTAATTTTAGTGCGGAGACTCCGTAAAAATTATGTCTTCTCCGGACTCTAGTTTATAAAAAACAATCTCCGGGTTTTTCAATTTTTATGAAAAACAATATTTTATTGTTCATTTATTGACAATATTCCTATTACATATTACACACAATGTATAGTTACTGTAGTAATTATATGCCTAGAATACAGACTGAGCTATTATTATTTTAAATACCTGAGTTTGTATTATC